TCCCCATTTATTGGCTTCTGTCCCTCACATGGTTTATCACTCGTTATGTTCCCTTCTCTTTAATACAGATTATTCTCCTGTGTTAAAATCTCATTTATTGTAACTTAATGTATTTACGACTACACGTATACGGCTACAGGTATAGATACAGTTACAGGTACAGGTATAAGTACAGTTACAGTTATAGGTACAGACACGAGTACATGGTCAGGTGCAGGTACACGTACAAGTGTAGGTATAAGTTTAAATACAGAGACTGACACAAGTGCAGCAGGAGGAACAAGTACAGTTAATAAGTACAAGAAGAGATACAAGTACGTAACGCATACAGCACTACAAGTAACAAGTCAAGCTAATAAGTTCAAGACCGGGTACAGGTACAAATAAAGGTAGACATATAAGTACAAGTAGAAATATATATCCAGGTACAGATACATGTAAAAGTACTGATAAAAATACAGATAAAAGTATAATATCCGAGTTCAGGTCCACGTACTGTACTCTACTGTAATATCAGGGCTGTAACCTAGGTAGTATTAAACAGCTTATTACCTTGATAAATACAGGTAACCACTCATTTTCATTCTTGGTCCTCATATTCTCTCATATGAACAGCTGTAGTTCCTCATATTCACTCATATTCACAGCTGTAGTTCCTCATATTCACTCATATTCACAGCTGTGGTTCCTCATGGTCACTCATATTCACAGCTGTAGATTCTCATATTCACTCATATTCACAGCTGTAGTGCCTCATGTTCACTCATATTCACAGCTGTAGTTCCTCATATTCACTCATATTCACAGCTGTAGTTCCTCATATTCACTCATATTCACAGCTGTAGTGCCTCATGTTCACTCATATTCACAGCTGTGGTTCCTCATGTTCACTCATTCACAGCTGTAGTTCCTCAAATTCACTCATATTCACAGCTGTGGTTCCTCATGGTCACTCATATTCACAGCTGTGGTTCCTCATGTTCACTCATATTCACAGCTGTGGTTCCTCATGTTCACTCATATTCACAGCTGTAGTTCCTCAAATTCACTCATATTCACAGCTGTGGTTCCTCATGGTCACTCATATTCACAGCTGTAGTTCCTCAAATTCACTCATATTCACAGCTGTGCTTCCTCATGTTCACTCATATTCACAGCTGTAGTTCCTCATGGTCACTTTTCATGACCACAGCCAAATTTTCATGGTCACTCATGCTACATTCACAGCTGTAGTTCCTCATGTTCACTATATTCACAGCTGTGGTTCATGTCTACTCATATTCACAGTTGTGGTTCCTCATATTCACTCATATCTTCACAGCTGTGGTTCTCATGTTCACCTGTCATTCACAGCTGTGGGCCTCATGTTCACTCATATTCACAGCTGTGCTTCCTCATATGTTCACTCATATTCACAGCTGTGCTTCTCATGTTCACCATATTCACAGCTGTGCTTCTCATGGTCACCATATATTCACAGCCAGGTTCCTCATGTTACTTCATATTCACAGCTGTATCTTCATGTTCACCCATATTCACAGCTGTAGTTCCTCAAATTCACCATATTCACAGCTGTGGTTCCTCATGGTCACTCATATTCACAGCTGTAGTTCCTCAAATTCACATATTCACAGCTGTGCTCTCATGTTCACCATTCACAGCTGTAGTTCCTCATATGGTCACCATATATTCACAGCCAGGTTCCTCATGGTCACTCATATTCACAGGCCAGTAGTTCCTCATGTTCACCATATTCACAGCCAGGTTCCTCATGTTCACCCATATTCACAGCCAGGTTCCTCATATTCACTCATATATTCACAGCTGTGGTTCCTCATGTTCACTCATATATTCACAGCTGTGCTCTCATGTTCATTATATTCAGCTGTGCTTCCTCATGTCTACTCATATTCAAGCTGTGTTTCCTCATGTTCACTATATTCACACAGCTGTGCTTCCTCATGGTCACCATATTCACAGCTGTAATCTTCATGTTCACTTCATATTCACAGCTGTGGTTCCTCATGTTCACTCATTCACAGCTGTAGTTCCTCAACACATATATATTCCACAGCTGTGGCTCCTCATGGTCACTCATATTCACAGCTGTAGTTCCTCAAATTCATCTATATATTCACAGCTGTGCTTCCTCTGCGTTCACTCATATTCACAGCTGTGGTTCCTCATGTTCACTCATATTCACAGCTGTGGTTCCTCATGGTCACTCATATTCACAGCTGTAGTTCCTCAAATTCACTCATATTCACAGCTGTGGTTCCTCATGTTCACTCATATTCACAGCTGTAGTTCCTCAAATTCACTCATATTCACAGCTGTAGTGCCTCATGTTCACTCATATTCGCAGCTGTAGTTCCTCATGTTCACTCATATTCGCAGCTGTAGTTCCTCATATTCACTCATATTCACAGCTGTGGTTCCTCATGTTCACTCATATTCACAACTGTGGTTCCTCATGTTCACTCATATTCACTCTTATTCACAGCTGTGGTTCCTCATATTCACTCATATTCACAGCTGTAGTTCCTCATATTCACTCATATTCACAGCTGTAGTTCCTCAAATTCACTCATATTCACAGCTGTGGTTCCTCATATTCACTCATATTCACAGCTGTAGTTCCTCATGTTCACTCATATTCACAGCTGTGGTTCCTCATGTTCACCTGTCTACAGCTGCTGTGGCCCCTCATGTTCACTTCATATATTCACAGAAGCTGTGTCTCTGCGTCTACTCATATTCACAGCTGTAGTTCCTCATATTCAATCATATTCACAGCTGTGGTTCCTCATGTTCACTCATATTCACAGCTGTGGTTCCTCATGTTCACTCATATTCACAGCTGTGGTTCCTCATGGTCACTCATATTCACAGCTGTAGTTCCTCATATTCAATCATATTCACAGCTGTAGTTCCTCATATTCAATCATATTCACAGCTGTGGTTCCTCATGTTCACTCATATTCACAGATGAAAGAAGACAAAAAGAAAGTACCAGTGTGTGTGTGTGTTGGTCTTTATGTTCCTGGATTGAAGCATTTGTGAGCCGAAGATTTCACCCTCCATTGTTGCTTGTTCCTGTTACTTGTGATTCACGTTATTTGTTATTTGTGATTAATGTTATTTGTGATTCATGTTACTTGTTCGTGTTACTTGTGTTTCATGTTACCTGTGATTCATGTTACTTGTACCTGTTACTTGTGATTCACGTTACTCGTCCCTGTTACTTGCAATTCACCTTACGTATGACTTACATTACCTGCAATTCATATTACTTATCATTTACATTATACAAGTTGTAAATAAAGTGCTTGAACAACTTTAAACTGTGGTAATTTTTGACAAACACTTTAAAAGACCCAAAGTGTGAATGATCTCTGACACCGTAACGAACACAACTTTAATTAATACAGTTTTAAGTTCCTAAGTCTTGACAATATCAGGTGATGTAATGATAGATAGTTGTCAATGATATTTTCTATGTCTATGTATATTCTTTAGCTCATGATCAGTGACTTTTCGAAGTGTGTTTGTGATTCATATTCTGAGTTCCCTGCCTCTTACCCCGCCCCTCTCATGGTACTGCCTTTACTCGCCCCGCCCCTCTCTGGCGCGGTAATTGCCTTTACCTGCCCTTATTCTCCTGGCGGCATCACCTGCCTTTTACCTGCCCTGCCCTTCCTGGCGGTACTGCCTTTACTCGCCCTGCCCCTTCACGGTACTGTCTTCACCATCCCGCCCCTCTCTATGATACTGCTTCACTCGCCCCGCCTTCCTGGCGGTACCTCCGCCTTCACTCTGCCCCCGCCCCGCCACTGTTACTGCCTTCACTCGCTGCCCCGCGCCCCTCTCATGGTACTGCCTTCACTCGCTCCAGAAATTCTCTTCACTGGTACTGTCTTCACCTTTCATCCTGCCCTCTCATGGTACTGCCTTCACCCACCTGCCCTCTCATGGTAATTGCACTGCCTTCATTTACCTCCGCTCATGGTACTGTCTTCACTTATCCTGCCCTTTCTATGGTACTCTCCTTCACCATCCTGACCTCTCTATGGTACTGGGCTTTTACCTGCCCCGCCCATTTAAGGATACTGCCTTCACTTTCCTGCCCATATCATGGTACCGCCTTCACCTGATCCCGCCCTCTCATGGTACTTTGCTGTCTTCATCTGCCCCGCCCTCATGGTACTGCCTTCACTCGCCCCGCCCCTTTCACGATACCGCCTTCACTCGCCCCGCCCTCTCTGGTACTGCCTTCACTCGCCCAGCCCCTTCACGGCAATTGTCATCACTCATCCCGACCCTCTCATGGTACTGCCTTCACCCACCTCGCCCTCTCATGGTACTGTACTGCCTTCATTTACCTCTCCGCTCTCATGGTACTGTCTTCACTCATCCCGCCCTTTCATGGTACTTCCTTCACTCACCCCGCCCCTCCCATGGTACCTCGCCTTTACTCGCCCCGCCCATCTAGCGGATACTGCCTTCACCTGCCCCGCCCATATCATGGTACCGCCTTCACTCATCCTCCTGGCGGTGGGCACTGTCTTCATTCGCCCTGCCCCTCTCATGGTACTGCCTTCACTCTGCCCCGCCCCTTTCACGATACTGCCTTCACCTGCCCTGCTCCATATCATGGTACTGCTCACTCGCTCCAGCCCCTCACGGTACTGTCTTCACTCATCCCGCCCTCTCATGGCACTGCCCACCCATCCCTGCCCTCCCCTCATGGTACTGTACTGGCCTTCATTTACCCTCTCCGCTCTCATGGCATCAAGGTCTTCACCTCATCCCGCCCTTCATGGCACTCTCCTTCACTCACCCTGCCCCTCCCATGGTACTGGCTGTACCACTGCCTCACCCCCTGCCCCATCATGGCACTGCCTTACCGTCCCCGCCCCGCCCCGCCCCGCCCCGCCCCCTCCTCCACCTCCTTCACTACACCTTCAGAAAGACAGTCAGTCACGCGCGAGACGCCAGCGTGTTATATTGTGTGAGAGAGACCACTGCCCTCTGACACGTGTACACCTGCCTGTGTGACCGTTTACACATACCTGTACCCAAACAACAGTAGATATATGCGCACACGTAGATATAAGCATACATCTGTAGCGGAACACCTGTACTGGAACAATTGTGAATATATAGACCTACCAGTGTTGGAACATTTGTGTATATATGCACACACCTGCAAACTAACACCTCTGTATAAACTAGCCCACATATGTATGTTTAGAGAATCGCCTGCATGAAGTATAACTCTTTACTGACATACACCTGCTAGGCCGTGTATGTCTGTGTGTGTATGTGTGTATATGGAGTCACTCATTTTTATGTGTACCCATATATATCCACACTTGTACAATACATCTGTACTTCCACACTTATAAGACACATCAGTTCGACCACTCCTGCACGTGTACCTGTGCATCTGGACAAACTCACCTGTAGTTGCAGCAAATACTCTTTCACGTAAGTACCTGTAATTTGACCCCATTTTGTTATAGCTTTAAGGGTATTTATTTATTTGTTTAGATTAATATTCGTTTCGTCTCGTATAATGTGTTCTCAAGGCTCTGGGAACTTTGGTCGATTTCGTGATAAATTTGAGAAATTCAAAGGATTTTTTTTAAGTATTTTATTCCCTTGGTCACGAAAGCTTAATTCATCCTGTGTTCATTATTACTGCATCACGGTCTGTCTGCAGCGATTTTTGTCTTTATCTGTCTTTCTCGTGTTTCTATTTCGTCTGTCTGTCTGTCTGTCTGATAGGTAACTCATGAGCTTAAGTTATGTAAGTGAACCTTGGAGTTAAGAATAGGGAGGGGGAGAACATCCTCAGAAGGGTGCAAATAGTCTTTGAGTAAAGGGCAAGGTCATGTAAGGTGATCAAGAGCTGTTTTTCGCTGGCTGAGCTGGACCTGAATACTGACTGTAACCTTCAGACGTGTAAAACATCCATCAGTAAGGGAAGGCGAGCTCACACACACACACACACACACTACCTTCCTCTTCGTCGTTATCAGTCTTCCATTTACAATATGGTCCTCTCCTTCCTCAACTAGGCTGTGAGTTTGGCGTACTCTATCACCTCACACCACCACTATCACCACCATCACACCACCACCACCACCACTACCACCACCACCTTCCCATAACCCATACTGTAGATCACTCCACACGACTCGAGACAAAGGTCAAAGCCACCGACAAGATATCTATAACCAATCGCCACAGAAATTCCACAGATGGAATAAATATATCTCTGTTGTCTAGTAACCATTGGTTGAGGGTGTCTCAAGCCCAGCCCACCACGACCACCACATGTAAAATAAAAACTTTTTATTATACTTATCATTTCATCTATATGTCCTTTTTCTTACTTTGTATATATTATTTACTTATTTACATGCTATTGTATTTATCGGTCATGTATCAGCTTATTCATGTTTATTATTAATTAATCTATTTACCCATGTATTTGTTTATGTTCTTTTATTCATCGACTTCTTTGATAAATATTTTGCCAAATTATCGTCGCACTAGTTTATATTCTTAATTAGTTTTCACATTTCTTACTTTGATTATACACTTATTTTATGTTACTTAATAATTTGTGAATCCGGTTTTTTTTTATGTAAACAAACACAGCGACATTCACAGTTAAAATAATTCTTATAAACGCAACACTTAAGAATTCACTAACGACATTATTTATACTGTACATCCATCAACTTATTAATTAATGTGTTTATTTATCTTATTTATATGGCATTTATTTCCTTATTTATTTATTTATTGTTTATTATACACTTGGCAATAGTGAGAACGGATTTACTATTTACTGAAGGGTTGAGTGTGTAGTGAGTGTATATAGGTGTGGATGTTTGTACCTTGTATATCTGCCTGTGTATTGATTATGCTGTGTGGGACGCACGTATATATATTACCATTACATGTGATTTACAGTACTGCTCCCGGTGTATAAAACTGCTGTATCTGAAGTGTACTGTACGTGTGTGTGTGTGGGGCGGGCGATCTGCCAACAGTGGAATTTCCCCAGTAACGTCCCTGACATGTAGTGATCACAGGGAATTATTTACAACTGAGGCATGCATGTCTTGTCGTTTTAATCATGTCTGTTGAGGATGTTGAGTTCGTCATGTCCTGTGTCTATAATTTCATCTCTTCTTACTTTAAATGCATCACTCGTTATGTAATTTCCTTTAGAGTAGTAATGACTTAAATTTGCTCTGCCATCTCATTTACAATCTGATCTTTTAACATTGATGACAGTTAAATATATAAGTTTATTAGTATTAGAGGGCATCGGGTAACAGTGAGAGGTAATAACAACTCAACTTACCACTATATTATACACCGTTACATACCAGTGCTTCACGATCACTGTATAAGACGTCACGCACCCTCTCTCAATCTCACTCATTAAATAAACTATATATATCATAAAAAACAATATTTATATGGAATATTTTTTATACATTCAATATACTTTTGACTTCTCGAAATGTATATCTCAAGTACTCTGCCACCTGACAAAGGTTCTCCCTCACTTTTTTATACGTATGAGCTATTTTTATGTTGTACCCTGCACTAAATAGAGGAGATATGAGACGTGTAGTGTAGTACTTGTTGTTGTGTAGTACTTGTTGTTGTGTATTACTTGTTGTTGTGTAGTACTTGTTGTTGTGTAGTACTTGTTGTAGTGTAGTACTTGTTGTTGTGTAGTACTTGTTGTAGTGTAGTACTTGTTGTAGTGTAGTACTTGTTGTTGTGTAGTACTTGTTGTTGTGTAGTACTTGTTGTAGTGTAGTACTTGTTGTTGTGTAGTACTTGTTGTAGTGTAGTACTTGTTGTAGTGTAGTACTTGTTGTAGTGTAGTACTTGTTGTTGTGTAGTACTTGTTGTTGTGTAGTACTTGTTGTTGTGTAGTACTTGTTGTTGTGTAGCAATTGTTGTTGTGTAGTACATGTTGTGTAGTACTTGTTGCAGTGTAGCAATTTCCTTGTTGTTGTGTAGTACTTGTTAGTGTAGTACTTGTTGTAGTGTAGTACTTGCTGCAGTGTAGTACTTGCTGGTAGTGTAGCACTTGTTGTAGTGTAGCACTTGTTGTTGTAGTACTTACACAGTAGCACATGTTGTGTAGTACTTGTTGTTGGTGTAGCACTTGTTGTTGTGTAGTACTTACAGTAGCACTTGTTGTAGTGTAGCAATTTGTTGTGTGTAGCACTTGTTGTTGGGGTATACTTGTTGTTGTGTATACTTGTTAAGTTGTGTAGCACTTGTTGTTGTGTAGCACTTGTTGTTGTGTAGCACATGTTGTGTAGTACTTGTTGGTAGTGTAGCAATTTGTTGTTGTGTAGCAATTTCTGTTGGTAGTGTAGTACTTCTGTTGTAGTGTAGTACTTAAGGCAGTGTAGTACTTGTTGTAGTGTAAAGTGCCTTGTTGTGAGGTAGCACTTGTTGTTGTGTAGTAGTACTTGTTGTAGTGTAGCAATACATGTTGTGTAGTACTTGTTGTTGTAGTAGCACTTGTTGTTGTGTAGTACTTGTTGTGTAGTACTTAAGTGGTAGTGTAGTACTTGCTTATAGCAATTTGTTGTTGTGTAGTAATTTGTTGCTGCGTAGCACTTGTTGTTGTAGCACTTGTTGTTGTAGCACTTTTTGGGCAGCACTTGTTGCAGCACTTGTTGCTGGTATAGTGCTTGCATAGCACTTGCGTAGCACTTACACAGTAGTACTTACACAGTAGCATTTGTTGTAGTGTAGCACTTGTTGCAGTAGCACTTGGTTGCAGGCAGCACTTGTTGTAGTGTATAATTTGTTGTTGTGTAGCACTTGTTGTTGTGTAGCACTGTTTTTTGCACAGCAATTTGTTGTTGCATAGCATAATTTGGTTGCAGTGCAGCACTTGTTGCAGCAATTTGTTGTAGCAATTTGTTGCTGTATTAGCACCTTGCTGCTTGTGCAGTACCTGTCAGTGCAGCACTCTGTTGCAGTGTAGCACTTGGGTTGCAGTGCAGCACCTGTTGTTGTATTCTAATGTTTAGAATGTTGTTACGTAGCATTTGTTGTGTGTAGCACTTGTTGCGTAGTACTTGTTGTAGTGTAGCACTTGTTGTTGTGTAGCACTTGTTGCAGTGTAGCACTTGTTGTGTAGTACTTGTTGTTGTGTAGTACTTGTTGTTGTATAGCACTTGTTGTTGTGTAGCACTTGTTTTTTGGCAGCACTTGTTGCTGGTTAGCACTTGTTGTAGTGTAGCAGTAGCACTTGTTGTTGTGTAGTACTTGTTTTGGCAATTTGTTGTTGTAGCAGCACTTGTTGTAGTGTAGCATGTCAGGTAGCACTTGTTGTTGTGTAGCACTTGTTGTGTTAAAGTACTTGTTGTTTCGCAGTACTTGTTGTTGTATAGTACTTGTTGGTAGTGTAGCACTTGTTGTTGTGTGGCAATGTTGTTGTGTAGTACTTGTTTTGTAGTAATTATGGTTGCGTAGCGTGTAGCACTTGTTGTGTTGTAATTCTTGTTGTTTTGGCAGCACTTGTTGTTGTTGCATAGCACTTGTTGTAGTGTAGTACTTGTTGTTGTGTAGTACTTGTTGGGTAGTGTAGCACTTGTTGTAGTAGCACTTGTTGTTGTAGTACTTGTTGCAGTAGCACTTGTTGCAGTAGCACTTGTTGTTGTGCAGCACTTGTTGTTGTGTAGTACTTGTTGCAGTGTAGCACTTGTTGTAGCACTTGTTGTTGTGTACTTGTTGTGTAGCACTTGTTGTGCTGTTGTTGCAGTAGCACTTGGTTTGTAGTGTAGTACTTGTTGTTGTGTAGCACTTGTTGTGTTGCACTTGTGTTTTGTATAGCACTTGTTGTTGTGCTTACTTGTGTGCAATAGTACTTGTTGTTGTGTAGTACTTGTTGTAGTGTAGTACTTGTTGTTGTAGTACTTGTTGTGTAGTACTTGTTATTGTGTAGTACTTGTTGTGGTGTAGTACTTGTTGTGGTGTAGTACTTGTTATTGTGTAGTATTTGTGATTTAAATATCTCCCTCACTCCCTTACCCTTTACCCCCTACCTCCCCACCCCCTACCTCCCCACCCCCTACCTCCCCCCACACCCTACCTCCCTCACCCCTACCTTCCCCATCCCAGAACTCCCTCATCCTCTAACTCCCTCACCCCCCTACCTTCCCACTCCCTACCTCTCCCATCTCCCCTTACCTCTAGAGCAGCTAAGTTACAGTTACAATAGAAAAGATACAGTGGGTAAATTACAGTAGTCTAAGTTACAGTAGGAAAAACACAGTACATAAAGTTACAAGAGATACAGTGATTTAATAATACACACTGGAGGCTATTAAAGCTTGTCGTACTGTAGTAAGCGGGATTGTCAAGGTCTGTGTGTCATACAAGAGTTAACAGTGACATATTTCGCTCAGTCTTTACACAGAGTATGTCGC